AAAACGCAAAGGGGAGCAAAACCCGGGAACCCTGAACTTAAACTATTTCTGATTATTAATATATCTAATTATCACATTCTTTCAGAAAGAAGAAAACCCAATCCCCCGATTTTCAAGTCTCCTTTTTTTCTGTGAATGATGTGAGAGTTCTATTTGTCCACAAATCCTATGCCAATTAAGAAAGAATTAATTTAGGAAAGTGAGACTCCTAACCACCAAGGCACCATAATATTTCCTTAGATGCCTTAACTCAGAAACTTTAACCATCTTTTGAGGTCCAGTTTTATCTTAAACTTGCAAATGGGATCAGGTATATTATTCCCCAACTCTAATGACTTACAGATGTGTGGACTTTACCTTAGCAATGGTCATGGTGGCTATGAAACTGTGATAATCCATATATCTACAGTCACATATTATGTAATCACTCCTTCCTTTTATGTACATTTACAAGATTCCAAAGAAAAGGGACAAAAGTCTATATTTTAACAGTTGCATACAAGGAGGAATGATAGAATATTAACTTGCCATATATGGACATACAAAAAATATGCCCATGCTGGGTTTCCATACTAAAGCTGATGATATCTGAATGTATTTAGACCTGATTTTTAATCTTAAACATGCAGAGAACAAATAGAAGCCCTTATAACAGACCACAATCAATCAGCTGAAGATCACAACTACCTCAACGTAAATGCCAATTTACTGAAAAATTTTATGCCTTTTTTGTCATAATTCACATCACTTTGCGTAAAAAAAGACATACCGCAATTAAACAAACCATGTCTGTTTTTAGACTTTGTCAGAAATAGTCTTCCTCAGGATAAAGTTTTCCAATAAAAGTCTCACGAAAACTACAAATAAAAATAATTTCTCAGTTCCTGATCTATGCCTGTAATAAATAGTAGTCTAAAGGGGAAGAACCATGGTATTCCCTGATGGATGGCCACACGTTTTTTTTAACCACTTCAGAGAGGGAAATTGTAATAAAATATATATTACAGGACTTACTAGCATAATTGGGACCAGAATTTCACATTGCTAAGCTAGGCAGTTGTTAAATGAGTTGTGCCCAATTTTATGACCTTTTGTTATGGTTGTTAAGCAAATCATTGCGGTAGTTAAGTGAAACATGTGGTTGAGTGAATCTGGCTCTCCCCTCCCCCCCCAATTGACTTTGCTTGTCAGAAGCCAGCTGGGAATGCCACAAATGGCAATCACATGATCCTCACATGTCACAGCTGTCATATATACATGCTGGTTGCCAAGTGCCCGAATTTTGATCATATAACTGTGGGGATGCTGTAATGGTTATGAGAGAGCCAACTGTGACTTTTTAAAGCACTGTTGTAACTTCAAGCGGCCTCTAAGTGAATGGGTTTTAAGTCAAGGAGTACCTATAGTGGGAATGGGAAGCACCCTCACCTTTAGGTACCTACGGTAGACCCGTACAGCTGTCTCAGGTAATGGATAGAGTCGCACAAACTTCAGGTAAAGTGGCCAGATACGATGATGCTGTGTGATGGGCAGAGCTCTGAGTGCCCGGTCAAACGTCCTGCGGGTACGGGTAATGCGACATTGGTCCATGAGAAACTGGCAGTAATCTAGCCATATCCGGGGCATCTGTAGGAAATACAAGATAGCAAAAACAAGCAATTCCTTCACTGAATCAGACAAAAGCCCATATTGTCCAACTATCTGATCGCACAGTTGGTTTGTCTTCAGGGACAGCCTCATCCACAGGACCACCTTTGAATAAAAAGGCTTCACCTGTTATCTCCTATTGGAATGGCCTACGGGTTTTGTTTAATGATTGCCAACAGGCTTTGCCCATTAATTTATCTCATTCTTTCTCCAAGTAACCATTAAAGGAATTTTCTAATCTTACTACTACAAACTGACTTACAACAGTTTGCTTAGTGACTGTTCAAAGTTACCATGACACTGAAAAAAGTGACCTATGACCATTTTTCACGCTTACTACTGTAGCAGCATCCCCGTGGTCACATGATTTACATTCGGATGCTTGTCAGCTGGTTCATATTTATGACGGTTGCAGTGTCCCAGGATCATGTGATCCCCTTTTGTAACCTTCTGATAAGCAAAGTCAATGGGGAAGCCAGATTCAGTTAACAAACGTGTTACTAATTTGACAACTGCAATAATTCACTTAACAAATGTGGCAAGAAAAGTCATAAAATAGGGCAAAACTCACATAACAAATTTCTCACTTAGCAACATAAATTTTGAACACTTGAAGTTTTAAAGAAGAGACTGGACAGCCATTTGTCCGAAATGGTATAGGGTTTCTTGCCTGAGCAGGGGTTAGACTAGATGACTTCCAAGGTCCCTTCCAACTATTATTATTATTATTATTATTATTATTATTATTACTACTACTACTACTACTACTACTACTACTACTACTATTACTTGAGGACTACCTGTATTCAGTTTTACTAAGTGGCCCAAGCTCAGTTCTTTTACAGAATGTATTTTATCCCCATCATTACCTCCAAACAATCATAATCTTATAAATCTTTCAGTCAATATTCTTTGGAGAGATCCCACCAGCACGTGCTGCCTAATAAACACTGCAATGAGTCTTGATTATTGGCTTTTTCCATAGTAAGTTGAGTCATCAGATGACTAGATTTGATTTTACAACTATTTTTATGGTGGCCATTAAGTTACACCATGTTTGTTAAACATATCATGTGGTGTAAGTTTGAATCCAGCTTATCCAATTGGGGTCTTTTGCTGGAAAACAGAAAAAAAAAATTGCAACACACAGTCATGTGACCATGAGATACCGCAACCAGCCATAAATGCAAGTCAGTTCCCAAACAACCAAAGTGTGATCACATGATCACGGAGAGTTTAGGAGTCATATCTCTGAGGATGGTTTGCAAGTAAGTAACATAGTCACCTTCCTTTCCAAACAAAAACTAATTAGCAAGTGTTTCAAACTTAACACCCTTGAGCATAAAGCACAGGCCAAACATTTTTCCTATCCATGTCTTCCTGCTCCTCTTGGGCTCTTCCAAATCCTTTAAGTTTGCAGGTTAACACTGTACCTTATGCATGAAGACCAGGGCACGCTCATGACAGTTGTTAACTTCTTCATAGCAGGGATCTGTTACACATTTGCTCTTCACTTGTTTCCGTCGCTGCTTAAGATAGTTATACCATAGCTTGTAGCTGCAAGACATAACAAAAGAGACCATCAACATCAAAATAATTTTGATCTTTTCCAATTCCGGCAGCAAACGTCGAACCACTATCTTCACACTTTGTTGGGAAGTCCTCTAGCTACCCTTTGCTGATCTCTTTCAGCAAAGACAAACTTGGACAAAAAAAAGGGGGGGGGCAGAGTTATTGACTTTGAAAAATCAGCAGCTTCAAAGAAAAACTGCATGTTAAAAAAATAATTTTAGTATTTGCAAAAATGTAAATTTCAAAACACTCATAATTAATGAAAGATAACTATACCTTCCTGGCAATTCCTTAAGAGCTCTTTCATAGATCAGGTTCAGGATATGTTTGGGAGCATTCTGCTTGAAGTCAATATAGCGGATCCAGCACTTGACAGAGAATGGGTTTCGCAAGATCTCTTCTTCATACTGTAGGTCTTCTTCCTCCTGTGCAGATAGGAAACATAGGTTTGGACAAAAAGTACTGTTTTCTTTCACTGAATAGCCCTATAATTTCAATAGCTCAACAATATTATTTTCAGGTTATTTCTATAGATAGATTACAGCATTATGTAGTAATAAAATAAAATACAGTGGGGGACTAAGAAAATCTAAACACTCATTCAAATGTTAGTATCATTAAATAGCTACTGGTACATTTGTGCAATACTCCTGTTGTCTCTATCCACACTACTTACGGGAATAATAGGTTAATAAAAATTATATGATTATGTTACTAAATGTTGACATAAATGTTGCAATAGATTTGGAAATACTATTCTAACTGAAATAGTATTAGATAATGTTATGAACTTTCCTACCCAACTCACAAAGGCACAGAGAAATTGTAGCTATACTTATCTTAAAATGTGCTTTCAAAAGCATTATGTGATTTTTCATCCTTTAATCATACACTGTTAGAAGAAAGTTGGCTATACAAGCCATTTTAGGGTGCCTATATATTTCCCAGAGTGGATTACTCTTAAAGTTAAAATGTAGACAGTAGTTTCAGACATTCTGAATATCAGAATGTCTGAAACTACTCAATATATCTCTCAAATATCCGTTCTGATATTTATAACTCTCAAATATCCGTTCTGATATTTATCAGAGCAACTGTTATTCCTTTCATTTGCAACTCTGGATTGCAATTCACAGTTGACAATTAAGAGGCATTAGCTTTTCCCCACGAGCAAAAATCCCCATGATATATCCACGATGTTGTAAAACTGATCCACTGCAACTACACTTTTTTCTGTTCACGATCGGGCGTATTTGTCCAAGTATATACTTGGACCAATATAAGTATATATGTATATACTTAGACCAACATACTTACACTTAAAAATAGTTATGTCAAAGTATATTTACTCATGTTGTGTGGCTGTAGTAGTATTATTATCCTTCCCATCTTCTTCACTACCCCCTCTTATTGGTACCATTATTATGATTATTATTACTCTGTTGTTTTGCAGCTTTTGCACCGGAGACAAATTCCTTCTGGGTCTAATCACACTTGGCCAATAAAGTGCAGCTTTCTATTCTACTATTAGGAAAAAAAATCTCGAAGCAAGCCTCCCCTTCCGATTAGTCTCTACTGAGAAAAACCCTCGTAACGTAAAGATCGATGGAAGCCAAAGGTCCCAACCCAAGGACCCAGCCTCTCCCCCCCCCCCCGCCGTACTCACGAAGAAAAGCTCCCGCTTTCCTATCACCGTCTCCGATTCCGGCATCTCGGTCTTTCCCTCCCGAGGCCAAATACAGCGCGCACAAATGACGTCACTTCTTCCTGGAATGCAACGTCGAATCAGTTGGACGTCTTGCATTGACTGACCTGCCATTGGCCGTTCCTTCTCCGTCACCAGGCGTCATGATATCGAGGAACCAGCTTGAGATTTTTCGGGTCTGTGATGTTACCGCGGCAGCGGGAGGGGGGGGGGAATATTTCCGTTTATTAAAGGGATCGATTAGATTAGGTGGAATCCTCTCGGAAAAGGCCTCCCCTGCTTTCGGTGCAGCGCTTGGCGGCTCGCTAGATCCCGGGGCGGGTTCCTTCGCTCCGCTTTGGGGGAAGGGTCAAGGTCGGAGAACCTGCGACAGACACAGTGGAGAGAATTCGGGGATTCTTCCTTTTGACGGAAAAATACTTGTTTCAGTTGTCCCCAGTTTTCATAGGAAACTGGACTTTCTTATTTTTTTCTTTGAAGACGTTTCGGTTCTCATCCAAGAAGCTTCTTCAGTTCTGACTGGATGGTGGGGAATGGAAGGGTTTATATACTCCTTGCAGGCAGCTGGTCATTTGCATTCTTTAGAGCAGGGGTAGACAACCTTGGCTCTTTTATGACTCGTGGACTTCAACTAAGCTGGCTCAGGAATTCTGGGAGTTGAAGTCCACGAGTCATAAAAGAGCCAAGGTTGCCTACCCCTGCTTTAGAGAGTCGTTAGTGTTACCTGGAGGCTTATCCGTGTCTTCAGGGTCACCTGAGTAGTGCAAATGAGTGTGGAGCCTTTGAGAGAGAGCATTTTGGACAGAGAGGACCGCTGGTTTCAAAGGGGTCAAAGAAGCTATCTGTCAAAATTGAGCAGCCCTCTCTCAACAGAGGGGGAGAGATAGGACATCATCTATCTCCAGTCTACAACAAAGTTCTTTCAACAATTCCAAGAAGGCTCCTCACCCATTTGCACTACTCAGGTGATCCTGACAACACAGATATGCTTCCAGACAGCATTACTGACTCGCTTCAAAAAAAAAAAATGCAAATGAACAGCTATCTGCAGGAGTATAAATCTTTCCATTCTTCACCATCCAGTCAGAGCTGAAGAAGCTTCTTGGGTGAGAAGCTTAACGTCTTCAAAGAAAAACAAGCAAGTCCAGTTGCCTCGTGAAAAAGTATCTTTGGGACAACTGTGACCTGGATGACTGAGCATCTCCATAGACACGCGTTTCAGTTTGTAAATTCTAAGCTGCACTTGTTAATAGACTTTGCGAGGAAAGCTGTCTCCGCCACCTTTCGTTCCTTTCCCTCAAATACTCCTTGGGGCTGAAACTTTGAGGTACTCATTGTTACCCAGAGATCAGAAACGGAGCTATTGAGGAAAGGGATACAGGTAGTCCTCGACTTACGGCCTCAAATAAGCTCAATTTTTTTGTTGCTAATGAAACAGTTGTTAAGTGAATTTTGCCGCATTTTATGACCTTTCTTGTCACAGCGGTTAAGTCAGTGGTGGCGAACTTATGGCATGGGTGCCAGAGGTGGCACTCAGAGCCCTCTCTGTGGGCATGCGCGCCGTCGCCCCAATCCTAGGCCTTCAGCTGGGTTTTATAAAACTTTTTCACTTTAGGCCTCTGCTGCCATGTGCAAAAAAAAAAAAGGTTCATTCAATCAGTCAATTTCAACTTCTCGCGGGGAAAAAAAAGATCTTGCAAAGTTGGAATTGATTGATTGAACTTTTTAGTCCCACCCAGTCTGCGGTTACCGCCGCAGCCACATCCACCCAATGGGCCACACCCACCCAATGGGCCACACCCACCTGGTACCCAATGTTGCATAAGTGGGCTTTGGGTTGCAGTTTGGGCACTCGATCTCTTAAAAGGTTCGCCATCACTGGGTTAAGTGAATCACTGCCATTGTTAAATTAGTGACACAGTTGTTCCCCATTGACTTTGCTCGTCAGAAGATTGCAAACGAGGATCATGTGATCCTGGGATACTGCAACCATCATCAGTGTGAATCAGTTGCCAAGCATCTGAATTTTGATCACGTGAGGATGGGGATGCAGCAACGGTCATAAATGTGAAAAGCGGTCATAAGTCTTTTTTTCAGTGCCGTAACTTCGAACGGTTACTAAATGAATTGTTGTAAGTCGAGGACTACCTGTATTGGGTAGAATTGGCTGCCTTTTCTTCCCCTACAGCGATTTTTCTTAACTTTGACAGCTTGAAGATGGGTGGGGAATTCTAGAAGCTGAAGTCCACATATTTTAAAGCTACCAACATTGGTAAACTTTGCCCTACAACAATAGTTCTCAAAAGGTGTCTGGGAACCTTGCAGCGGATTGCAAGTTCAAAACTATTTTCATAATAATACTAAGATGCTTTTTTTCATTCTTTCACATTGCAACTAACCTTTAAAACATGTTGGGTTTTAATATGGGGTTAAAGCAGAATTTCCTGAAAAGGCTGCTAAAATACTGTACTTCTTTCTTTTCCAACCAAGATCTGTGTGAGGCCAAATTTTCTTTATTTATTCCATCCAAAACAACAGATTGTGGCAGACTGAATGCAGAAATAAATAAGAGAATTCAGCTGTCTTCTATTAAGCCAGATATTAAAAAAGATTTGAAAATACTAAACCAATGCTACTCTTCTTACTATTTTTTTGGGGGGGAAATGTAGTTATTTTTATACTAAAATATTTATATTGACATGAAAATAGCTTTATTTGCAAATAGCTTCATTATTAACAATACCTGAATTATAGGGAGCAGGGCAGTTAAGAAATATGAAATATAAATAAATTAAAATATTATAAAATATTCTCTATTTAATTTCTAATATAGTAAATATTGATAGATACAACCCTTGTTAATACCAATTCTTTGGCATCTTCAATAATTTTTAAAAATGTAAAGGGAGCCTGAAACGAAAAAGTTTCAGAACTGCTGTGATAGAGACTAGTACAGCTCTGGATATCACCAGTGGCCGTTTCCTTTTTTACCTTTTAATATTAAAAGAAAAAATAGTCTGAAAAAAAGTATAGACCCTTTTTGCCATTTTGTAATGTCTGCCTTTTAACTAAAGAGGTAAGGAAAATATATCAAATATAAATCCTGTAAAACAATTTCTTTTCTTTGATTCAGCCAATGGCATTTGGCTTTTTTCTTTCTCTTTCAGATGATGTTGTATCTGACTTTCCCAGTTGCTATATTCTGGGTAGCAAATCAGACAGAACTTTTTGAAAAATATGCAATTGCAGTAAGTATTCTGTAATTAGATGAGAAAAATTTGGGCTAATACATTTATTTCCGAAGTTTCCCTGATGTGCATCTTCAAAAAAAGAGGGGGGGGGAGTGGATCCAGGAAACTACAGACCTATTAGCTTGATATCAATACCTGGAAAGATTCTGGAAAAGATAAGCAACAAATCTGCAAACAGCTTGAGCAGGGGTCCCCAACCCCTGGTCCATAGCCTGGTACTGGGCCATAGCCCATTGAAAACCAGGCCACATAAGTGGTGGGCAAGTGCACAAAGCTGCATTTATGCAAGAAGTGCGCACTTGAAACCATCCCCTCTCTTCCACCCACCATTGCCGGTCCACAGAGCTGGAAAGGTTGACCTAGAGGCAAACAAAGTCATAACCAAAAGCCAATGTGGGTTTGTCAAAAAACAAATCATGCCAGACAAATCTTATTGCATTCCTTGACAGAGTGACAAAATTAGTGGACTATGGGTATAATTTACTTGGATTTCAGTAAGGCATTTGATAAAGTTGATCACCACCTACTTGACAAAATGAAAAATTGTGGGTTAGACAGCATCACCACCAGTTGGATTTGTAACTGGCTGTTAAACCACACTCAATGTGTAGTCCCTAATGAAACTGCATCTACATGGAAGGAAGTATGCAGTGGAGTATCCCAAGACTCTGTTTTAGACAAGGGGATAGAAGGGGAACTCATCAGATTTGCAGACGGCACCAAGCTGGCAAGAATAGCCAATACTCCAGAAGATAGGCTCAAGATACAGAAGGATCTTGACAGTTGAACACGGGGCCCTATCTAACAACATGAAATTCAATGTAGAGAAAAGTAAGACTTTATACGTGGACAAGAAAAACCAAATGCACAAGTATAGAATAGGTGGTACCTGGCTCAAGAGTAATAACTGTGAGAGGGATCGTGGAGTTTTAGTGGACAATCACTTAAATATGAGTGTGCTACAGCTGCCAAAAAGTCCTAAGCTGCATTAATAGAGGGATAGAATCAAGATCACATGAAATGTTAGTACCATTTTATAATGCCTTGGTAAGACCATACTTGAAATATTGCATTCAGCTTTGGTCGCCATGATATAAAAAAAGATGTTGAGACTCTTGAAAAAGTGCAGAGAAGAGCAACAAAGATGATGAGGGGACTGAAGGCTAAAACATATGAAGAACTGGAATTGCAGGTTGCAGGAATTGGGTATGTCTAGTTTAATAAAAAGAAGGACAAGGGATGACATGATAGCAGTGCTCCAGTATCTAAGGGGCTGCCACAAAGAAGAAGGGGTCAACCGATTCTCCAAAGCAGTTGAAGGCAGGACAAGAAGCAACGGATGGAAACTAATCAAGGAGAAAACTAACTTAGAACTAAGAAGAAATTTCCTGACAATTAGAACAATTAATCAGTGGAACGACTTACCTCTAGAAGTTGTGAGTGTTCCAAACTGGAGGATTTTTTAAAAAAGATTGGACAATGATTAAGGTATAGGACAGTGGTGGCGAACCTATGGCACGAGTGCCAGAGGCGGCACTTGGAGCCCTCTCTGTAGGCACGCATACCGTTGCCCCAGCCACATCTCCCCACGCAGCCCAGTTCTTACCAGCAGCCCCCCCCCGGAGGAGAGTCACCCCCAGGTGCAGCCCACATGCAGCGCAGCCAAGCACATGGCAGCCGGGCAGCACATGATGCTGTGGGGCATGGGTGGAGGGTGTAGCCACCATGGTGCTGTAGGGCTGCCTGGGTGATCTGCGGCAGGCCGTGGATGGCCCTGAGGACAGGTGGGATGAGAGCGGAGCAGGGTGGGGGTGGGCGGGTGGAGTGGGGGCGGGCCAGGGGCGGGGCAGTTTTGGGGCACTCGGTCTCTAAAAGGTTCGCCATCACTGGTATAGGATTTCCTGCTTGAGCAGGGGGTTGAACTAGAAGACCTCCAAGGTTCCTTCCAACTTTGTTTTTCTGTTCTGCACTTTTTCTATTTTGATTTAAATTGAACAAGGACTTGCTCAAGCACCGGCTGGACTCAATGGTCTATCATACTAAAATAAAAGAAATTCACAATAGTGACAATAGGATATTCATTAAAACATAGCAGTACATCTTCCCTCTAAACGATGCACTTTGATTCCAGTTTCCTTTCAACTATTTCTTTAAAGCACAGCATTTTACTTGCTCATCATTCCATTTTTTTTTCTTACTGGCATTTTACATTCTGTCATTGCCTGTTATATTATTTCTGACATTTTTATTTGCAACCCCTAATTGTTTTCTTGCTACTTTTTCTACAGAGCAAGATCTTTCAACCTCTAAATGAAGAGCAGGTAAATCTGTTGCTGCAATAAAAAATATTATTACTGTACAGTTTGGAAGGGAGAAAAATCTATGGTGAAAATTGCATTTCTGTCTTCTCCAGAGAAAAGATCGAGACGCCTTTAGAAAAAGGCTGCAGGAGATGAATGAGAAGAAGATGCTGGAGATGGCTAAAAAATAATGGACTGGTATTCTCCCTTTAATTCCAAAAGATTTTGGGCAACGAAATGAAGGGGTTTGTATTCCACAAAAAAATTCTGTACATATCTAAGATATTTTGGGGATAAGAATAAAGAAAATTTGATTTTTTTTCAGTTGTGATCAGCCTCTTGTAATGTATAATCATTAAACTTAATCATTAAGTTGGCAACTATCTCATGTGAATCACCTTGACTAAAGCAGCATATAGTAAAATTATATTACTCAGCACAAGTGCATATAGTAGTTTATTTGCATCTCCCAGACCGAAGTTCAAATTGTGATGTTTTCTTAAGTACGTTTGAATCAGAAGTGCAGCACAGCCCTAAGACTTAGTCAACTCATAGGAGTAGAGTAACTCTAAAGAGGAACTGGGTTGGGAAACAATATATGAGATTAGTGGTATATCATCTTCTTCCAGTAACTGCTGAACAAAGTCTTGGTTTGAAAAACTGGGAAGAAAGGAAACAATAGGTGGAGAATCTAAAGGTGGTTTTCCAAAACATAACTAGACTTTCTTGATTTTTTCCCTTGCTTCTCATCCTAGAAACTTCCATTTTCAAACCAAGACTAACCTTGTTCTTAAATGGAAGAAGCTTCTTGGATGAGAAACGAAATGTTTTCAAGGAAAAAAACCAAGACAGTCCAGTTGCCTTTTGGAAAAGCACATTTGGGACAACCTTGAGCTTCCCTGAGCACACATATTGCTTGGATTTTAGCTCCTCTGCACTTTTCTTCCTGTTTTTAATGCTCCTTTAATATATGTTGAATACATGAAAATGTATGCAGATTTCATGTGGAAAGCAGTTACTCACTTGTTCCAAGTCTCAAGGATTGTCAAACCGATAAAATCTGCATTGAGACCTAGTAATTATTTCCTTTCAGACCTGCCTCATGGTGTCACATGCAATTGTGTTGCAGGCTGAGCTTACTTTTCAATGTGCATTTAGTCATTTGTGCCCACTAATGCCCTTGCAGATAGCACTTAGATTTATATACCGCTTCATGGTACTTTACAGCCCTCTCTAAGCACTTTACAGAGTCAGCATATTGCCCCCAACAATCTGGCTTCTCATTTTACCAACCTCAAAAGGATGGAAGGCTAAGTCAACCTTGATCCAGTCAGGATCAAACTCCTGGCATGTCGACAGAGTTAGCCTGCAGTACTGCATTCTAACCACTGCGCCACCACGGCTTAGTGTGCTATTCCTTCAGTAGCCTTTCTGGTTCTTTCCCATCTAATAAGAACAGGTGTCATTACCCCATCTAATACAGGGAATTTAAATCAGGAATTCAAGAGGGCTTGAATTTATTTGTTTTCTAAGCTATGACATGAAACTGAACCAGAGGCGTCATTTTCTTTTTGATGGAATTTGGGTCCAATTATCTAGTCCAGCAGCGAGAGCTTTTTGTTTAGAGGGAGAAAGTGGGATTCGGAATTCTTTGTCTTATGTATTCTTTACCATTTCCCGAGTTGCAGACAGAATTAGTAGCAATGTTATCCACATTTTTGCTTTGCTTATACATATGGGTAGCAAGAAATAGCTACCTTCTTCAAGCCACCAGTAGTGGCTTGCCCATCCTGCTGCTAGGAGGTCTACTAAGGAAATCAACAAGGAGGGAACGGTGGGATGTGTTTATTAGAATCACAGAGCATGTTCAGTAAATGCGCAGGGCTGATACAGCAGTGAGGGGATGATCTTGGGCGAGAGGCACAGCACATGCTTAGTGGCATCACATTGGTGTCTCTTTCCTGCTTTCCCAAGGAGGGCTGGGGTGGATCTCTCATTTCTGCAAAGAAGAAAATAGACAGGATGATCACACAGCAAAAGCCAGGAGAATTTTCCTTTGCGCAGAGTGGCCTGACTAGGCAGAAGCAGACACAAGCATAGGCATACGCAGATAGAATCAACTCAGATCAGAATTTTGGGAGGCTATGACTGGGTGCCATGAATCCTCTCATATTGATAGATAGTGCACATTTCTCACTAGAGATTGTTGTGCAGCAAGCACATTGTAACTTTATGACAAATACACTTTTTTTCCCCTAAAGAAATTTACCAACGTAATTTTGTTTTGCTCAAGGCACAACTGTCTGTCCTATTGCCTTCTGGGTGTATTGACTTACCGAGATCAGAGTGTTGATGCTCACTTCAAAGGGAAAGCAAGCTTCTTGATAATGTGAGGAAAAAAGAAACAGTAGTTTGATCCCCATAGGTACTAATGAAATGGTAACTATATTTGGCCAGCTCTTGAAGCCAGGGAACCAGGGTTGACAAGAAAAGTTTTCGAAAATAGGTTTTCTGCTCTACTGGACAAACAGGAAACAGTCATGAATCTTAATGCATGAATGTGAGGATGGTGCCAGGAGGAAAGATTAGTTGGGCACCGGAGGATTTTTTTTTTAGGTCAAGCCAAACCTGTACAAAAAAAAGACTGTTTGCATTTGAACTAAAATGCAGATTCCTGATGTGTAACATTACAGAGGTAGAGAACAACTTTGAAATGATTCTGGAGAGAAACCGATCCATAGACTGTCCAAAAATTTCACAATGGGATACGTTGTGATCAAAGTCCTGCTCCTTTTTACACATGTACTACTGGTATCTTTTTACACACGTACAAAATGCACATGTGTAAACATGATAGCTCCATGGATGAAATTGCTGTTTCTTGTGCTATTATTGTCTTGAAAAATATATTAAGTTTCTGTCATGTTTGCTAAATGATGGTGGGGAAAGGAGAAAGTGTTTCCATTCCTTTTTTGCTGCAAAGGTGTGTGTTCGTTCTTGTTATCAAGATACCTTATATATTTTCCATTACATGAGCCATCCTGAGAATTTTGCAGAATTAGGGAACACATTAAAAAAAGCAGAAGAGATACCGCTGTACTTATGATTTCCTTTGCCTGTTTTCCAGACTTAGTAAGAAAAGTCTTCTGAGAACAGGGTGTGTGACCTAGCCCATTTGAGTGATTTATCAACTCTGCTTTTTTACTGTCTGGGCAGGTTTTAATAGCCACCCTGCACCCCTGTTCACATCTATTTCTAAAGAGACTCACCTTGGTGGCTCCGGAGCCTGATAGGCTGTTGGTGTTACTATTCTGAAAACCAGGAAGGTAGTTGAAACTGACCCTTTGATCGTCCATTCGTCGGCTCTGTGTATGAGCCAGCATTTCCATGAAATTGTCCATCTCGGGAGGTGGGCTTGGGCTGTCCTCTGCAGGCCCAAGAAATAGAAGTAGCTATTAATGGAGGGCACATTGAAGGACAGCAAGAGCAGCATTATTTTTTTCATTTTTTTAGATGTCACTATTCTGCAGTATGTCAAACATTGCCTTTTGTCCATTTAGCATCTTTGCTTCTTAACATCTGATGGATGTGAGAATTCCTAGCTAATTTTGGCTCATTTCAAAACCACAATGCAGGGTTAAATGAAGATTACCAGGAAAATAATCATCATGTCTCAGAAGAAGACAATGGTAACCTACTTCTGGATTAAGGATCTGAGGGAGACAGGGGGTTCAAAAAATGTGAAAAATAATACATAAAAAATGAAAGGTTTAGCAAGCAAGCAAACAAATAAAACACCTCACATGGACATATCCATATAGTCCAGTGGTTCTCAACCTGTGGGTCGGGACCCCATTTGGGGTCGAACGAACATTTCACGGGGGTCACCAAACAATGCAGTCCGCCATTTTTTCCCCCCTTTTCCTTAGCTGTGCTACTCCCTTTTATTCTATTGGCTTTTGAAAGCCTATAGAATAGACTCTCTTGAATAGAGTCTAATTCTATTGGCTTTCAAAAGCCAATAGGAATTGTCCAGGCTGCTCTGCCCTGCTGAGCCCGCCAAAAGTCTCATTCTGCAAACGGTGCTGCACCAGTTGAGTAGTCCTCGACTTATGACTGGTTGGGGGTCACGGCATTAAAAAGGTTGAGAACCACTGATATAGTCACTGAAAGCCAATGAATCTTTATTTATCAGATGAAATGCCCAGGCAATGTTGGAAATGGTTTCCCTTGACAAACAGGGCAGTGGTTAGAGGATCTCAATTGCACTCAAGAAAAGGGTTCAGAATAAATGGACTATCAGAATGTTGATCTGGAGTGGAAGAAGACTCTCATAATACTTTACCTAAGTTTTGTGAAAATTTAGCCTACAAGAAAACATTCCTATCCCAAAATGTCTGTTTTGTAAATACTGAAAGTAGGCCCACCAGAAGATGTGGACCTCACTTTAGCAGTAGACAGGAAACAAAGTTTTGCTTGGTCTTGGGAAGATGCAGTCACTGCACTAGTAACTCCTGGATTTACTAAACCTTATTTAACTTAGAGCAGGGATCCCCAACCCCTGGTCCATGAACCGGTACCGGGCCACAGCATGCCAGCAACCGGGCCGCACAAACAAGCAAAGCCCCATCCATGGGATGCAGGCAGCACACAAAACCACACACTCTCCGGTCCGTGGAAAAACCTTTCTGAACTGGTCCCTGGTGCCCAAAAGGTTGGGAACCTCTGGCTTAGAGAACTCACTCTTTTCGGGATCTGAGCCACTCTTGCTATGTACAATTTGAATGTTACAGCGTTGCTCATCCATACGTCCTCCCTGCACATGAGTCAGCAGATTGAAGAAGCCTTCTTGTTCCGGTGAGCCTGACTGTAACAGAAAAATAAGAATTATTATCAGTTGGTTCCAACTTTACCTATCTTAATTTCACAAAAATCTTTCCATTGGGCAGTCTTTGTCATCAACCTCTGGAGCAAAGCTACATAGCTTTCTAACGTTGCTCACTTGAAGGATTTAGCTAGGAATACAGAATCATACATTTACTGACTTAACCTTTTGATATGATATTGAATTACAAAGGCCATTAATGAGAGTTTTGTGACCATCTGTGTATTCTTCCTTTGCCTTTTCAAACTTAATGAATCAGGAATGACGATGACTTCTAAAATACTAAAATACTATGCCATCTAGGATAGATATCTGGATGGAAAGATCACTACCATTTATTCAGAAGGAATCTGGTAGCACCTTTTCTGTCTTAACTTTTACTAAAAGGTATGAGTTTTTGTGAGCTTTGGACTTTGCATATATGCACACTACTGTAGTGCATTTGGCTATTCAATGCACATGCTATAGACCACTGGCCTCATAAATGTGACTAGATCACAACTCTCAATAACCTGATCAGCGGGGCTAATGGTGAGCAGAACTTTTAGCACAGCATACAGCAACGTCAAGACCAGTGTTTCCCAAACTTGACAATTTTAAGGCATGAGGACTTCAACTCCCAGAATTCCACAGCCAGCAACGCTGGCTGTGGAATTCTGGGTGTTGAAGTCCACATGCCTTAAAATTGTCAAGTTTGGGAAACACTGGTCTAGATGGCTGCAAGCTCTCTACTGCTGGCAGAAACCCTTGCCATACCTTTGCAAGTGTGGCAAATCTCATGATTCCTATGATACAAATTAAGGTTGCTTGTCTGCAAAAGGTGAGAAACTGTCTCGCTCTTCTACTTCATTATGTTCCTTATGTTAATAATATATCAAGTACCGTAAACCTTTGACTGAATAACCCTCCATTCAGCAGACTTTGGATGCAATGGACAAACTTTCCATCAGAATACTTTCCTGAGTAACCATCGGGTCAAATACATCCGAAAGAGTTGAAATTTGTATTAGTTTTTGTTACATCATTTGTATAAATTATGCAGATGGTATAGGTCAGGGGTGTCAAACTTGCAACATCACGTAACGTGTCATGACGTATCGCGACTTTTTTTTCATTGCCGGCAATGGGGTGGGCGCAGTTTTGGCATGATGCATCCAGCCTAGCAGTTTGACACCCCTGGTATAGGTTATTGCAAGTGCATATTTTACATCATTTCCTTAATAACTTCATTACTGAAATTATGCAGATTGCATAGATGACATACTTTCTGATTCTACTGACATTTGGAAGTAAAACACAAGCCCTTCCCCCACATGGTCCTTATATGGAGGTTTTACCCAAAAGTAGATTATAGATGATGACTCATCTCTTAATCATATCCTTTTTCAAAATGTAGCATCAGAAAAAAGGCTCACAGCTCTTTACAAAACACAGCATTGGGGAAAATTGAGTTCACTTTTAAAACCTTAGATTCAAAGAAGCAAAAAAAAAAAAAGCGAAGTATGTTTTCATTTGCTCATTAAGTGAGCTTTAAGCTTTATGTTCGTTGTTCAATGTCTGGAAGGAAATGCCGAAGCAAAATAAACTGGGATCAACTTAATGCTATTATCATCCTCTGGACAATAACTAAAGCAGATGGAGCGTGATCTATGAAAGAAGGGGTCTTTTATATAAGGCATTGAGCTGCCAGTGGGAGGAGGACGAGGTTAGAATGAATGAATGATCTTCTGAAAAACGGCAAAAGATCCTACTTGACTGCCCTTTTGACTTAAAATAGCTGGAGAGCAAATGGGAGACACACATGGCAGGAAACTTTGTCAGAACCAAAGTATAACAAACATGTCTGAAAATACTGGAGCAGGGAAGTAGATACACTGCCTTTAGAACAGAAATATAGAATACTTTTTTGGGAATCAATAATGTTTCTATAATATTTGTTTTCAAAATGGTACATAATTGGCCATTGGTAAAGTTGTATGCTTTACTAATAAATAATAGGCTTGAGGTGGCTTGTTAGCCTCTGTTTATACTGTAAATCCAGAAGAAAGATTAATTTGGGATCCAGATTATGTGAATTTAACAACTGTATCTAGGTAAGAAGAAATATTAATTCTTAATTTGAAAAGTTTGAATGATGGTGTACCTACTTACCTCCTCATTGCACAACTGCAACCATGAATTATTTCCAAATACTATTAAATACCAATCAATATTGATGATTATTTGTTATTTAGTTGATTTAGGTTAGAAAACTCTCCCATCCTTTAGTGTCTGACTGAAGGTTCTTAACTTCTTACTGCAAAAGATGCAGATTTTTGAAAAACAATGGTCAATTATCCTTTACCATAAGTGTTTCTTATCCGTCCTCATATCTTACCCAAATATATGAGGAAGGCTATGCATCAACTCTGGCGGAATCCCAAATGCACAATCAAATCTGCCTTATTGGAAAAAATCCACAAGATGTTAGAATCAAAGCAAACCTATATATGAATTCTCATGTATTTTAGCCATTCAAAATAACACAAGACATCTCTCCATAAAAACAGGTGTCTTTCTCCCCACACACCCTATGTTAGAATCTGGATCTCACTTGCAGGGGATGGGGTAGGGGCAAATCTACATGTTTGGACATATCAGAATTTAATCAGAATTATATAATCAGAATTTAATTTTTGATCAAGTGAGCTGAAGCACAAGTGAGATAGTAACCCTTTAATGGCTTCAACAAATTATGTTATGTTCTAAGCGTTTAGAAACAAGGTGTAGCTGCTGCACTTTGATTTAGGTTTTTTCACAACTAAAAAGACCATATAGGTAGTCCTTGACTTACAACAACAACTGGGGCCTGAATTTCTGTTGCAAAACAAGCGGCTGTTCAGTGAGTTGCACCCAATTTTATGACCTTTTTTGGCATGGTTGTTAAATGAATCATTGCACTTAAGTGAATTGCATGGTTGTTAAGTGAATCTGACTTCCCTTGTTGACTTCTTGTTGGAAGCTGGCTAAGAAGATCACAAGGGCAATCATGTAACCCTGGAATGCTGCAACTGTTATGTATACCTGCTGTTTGCCAAGCTCCCAACATTTGATCATGTGATCTTAGGGATGTAGCAATGGTTACAATTGTGAGGACAAGTTGTAAGTCATTTTTTTTCAGGTCTGTTGTAACTTCAATAAGTTACTAAACAAATGGTTGTAAGTCAAAGACACAGCCTACAAGTGAATTCCAATGATGGAGGTGAACAAATGAATAAGGATCCTTTTTGCCTACATGTCAGTCAAATGGCCTGGACTTTCTCTTTTGGACTATGAACTTTGGGATGTCCATCGATTCATTTGAATAAGGAAGAAGAAGTAGGAAAAGTCATCCTTCTTGCTCCTGCATCTGCATGTACCTATTTTGCACGTTTACAGAATTTCAGGAGAGTTCCCTGTCATAATAAACAACATATTTTTTTGCTGTAAACAAGTGATGCCAGAGCTGTGCTTGGAGACAAAGGTCAATGTGATAAGTAATTTGTCAAGATGACTGATTTCTATGAAGAAATTAATTATAGATAGAAGAAATTAAAATTGAGTCTACTGGTTTTGAGTAATTTAATAAAATAACATCAACATTTATTTTTACCCTTTGACTAGCCCCTACAGAAAAGAGGTTTAAAATGATTCCCAGCCTTTTTTTGTTTAGGGATTATGGAGTGTATTAGCCAAACCTAAGTGAGCTGGCATAGTTCACGGTCACTTACCATTTATCTTAATAGCCTATCCATGTTTCATCTGCCAAAGGCTTTCTCTGAGAACTTAAGCTTTTACAGGAAGTTAGATTACATATTTATAGATCGATGGGGTTTGTTTTTTATATTTTTAAATTTTCCATTTAACCATGAAAAATTATGTGGCTGAGGTCAGAAGGTCACTTACCTCTTCCAAATGGAGAGAGGAGAGGGAGAGAGGAGAGTGGAGAGGGTGGGTAGTTTTAAATTTCTGGGCACTTATATCTCGGAGGACCTCTCATGGACTATGAATGTTAACATGCTTGTGAAGAAGGCACAGAAGAGGCTGTACTTCCTGAGAATGCTCAGGAAGTTAAATCTATCTCAGCATCTACTTCTGTCCTACTATCACAGCACCATTGAGAGTGTCCTGACATACGGCATTCTTGCACGGTATGGGAGCAGCTCTGTAGCGGACAAAAAAGCTCTACAGAGAATTATTAAAACTGCCTAGAATATTATCGGACTCCAGCTACCAGCCCTGGACAACATCTTCGAATCTTGCTGTTTGAGGAAGTTGCATAACATTCTCAGAGACTCTTCCCATCCTGCTTACAATCTCTTTGGACTGTTGCCTTCTGGCAGAAGATATAGAACATTTAAAACTCGGACCACACGGTTTCTGAATAGTTTTTATCCCAGAGCTATAATTGCACTTAACAATAAACTAAAGGGCCACCATCAGTGAACTGTTGGACAGTATTACTTGGTCTGTTGGGTGGATGTTTGGGCGGTTTTAGGGTTGGGGAATTATGGTGGGTGGGAGTGTGTTTGGGGATTATGTGTGTGGGACCTGGTCTTTAGGTGTCACATAATTTTCATTGTATGTGTATACTGTGTATACACATACAATGACAATAAAGTTTATTATTATTATAAAGTTTATTATTAAATGATAAGCCCTGTGTTTGTTCTTTGGAATTATAAGGGACAATTTAGAGATTCATGGACGCTACTGCCTGATCTCAGTGATAAAACTTCCTGTAACTAAAACAGCTGCTGAAAGTATGGATTAAAATAATGGATAGTAACTATGAATTACAAAATGTGTTACCAAGTACAACTTGTTTCATAGTTCAGATAAATACATATTATCAGTTACATTGGAGTGATTTCCAGATAATTTTTCAATAGACATTTTGAAACTGATTAGAGAGTTCTAATTCAGCCTTAGGCACAAAGCCAGCTGAGTGATCTTGGGCCAAT